GTTTTGTGATGAGATCAAGGAGAGTTGTGTAGTTCGTAGTTGCTTGGTACAAGCAAGCATGCACCTATTAAAGGATCATATTATGACATCCAACTTAAATTTAGATTTTTTTGAATGTGGTAATGTTCTTTTATCACTTAGTAATTCTTCAAGTTTACTGACGAGAAGCAAGCATATCGTTTCTGTTCTGCTGTCTTGTTCTTGCTCCTGAAATGTGTTATGTTTGCCTATTTACAGAATTGGTAAAAGTAGTTTTCCTAAAGGAAAGTTTTCCTTCATTATTGATGAACAAACCCACTGAGGATCACTTTTCAGTGAATAACTCAAGAGTAAAAAAAAAAAAATCTTTAATTGTTATCTTGCATTGTGACAAGGATTACAAAAGATAACTTTCCATCAGTGATAATTTATTTCCTGCAAATGGCTTTTTTTAGACAAAATAAAAGATGGGAATTGTCTTTGCATGGGGTTGAGCAATTCTTCAGTGAGTTCACTAAAAACAGTGAACTCTCAAATCCAAAAAGAAAATTGAATTGGAATTAAATGAAAAAAAAAGTTGTTACTGTCCAATGGATTCCAGCAAATTCTAAATGAACTTGGTAAGATTGCAGTAGTTGTTTTATCGTATGATGAAATGAGATTGCTTTAAAAACATACAGGAAACAACTATATTGAACGAGGGTAAGAAAGCAGATCGATGCCAAGATAAGGACATCTGTTGGTATGCTTTGTCTAATATCACAGTGTTGGCATTCCCCCTTTCCTAGTGTTGAGGATAACAAAGAGGATGACAAAATGGCTGATCTCCTGACGGATTTCCAGCAGCAGTTAACTCTTCAGGAATCTTCAGTCAAACTTTGTCAGCCTGAGGTTGATGTCAGTCAAACCCATATCTCAGGTATGAGTTAAGATGTACTGTAAGAGTTCAGAGGCAGAATTTATAGAGATGTTTCACTCTATTAAAACATTTGTCTCCTTCATTCTAAAGCCACCTTTAAAGAAATGTACACAGTGTATCTTTATTTACTTTTATAGTTCGATGTAAAGGAAAAAAGATCATCAGCTAACTAAATGGATCTTTTTCTTCTATGTGGTTTTGCCCTTACCGCATAAGCTTTCCCATGTGGTACTACTACTAAGTAGAATTTCTCAGGATCAGTCATACTTAAAAGTAGCAACTTCTAGGAGCAGACTTGTATGAAGTAAGTGTTTTCCAGTTTCTCTTCCAGTTAATGTTTGAAAAAGTGAAATGGGGGTGGGGTGTTTTGGTTTGCAAATACTTATTACAATTCTTAAGTGTGAATAAGAGACAATTGTTCTATGAAGAATATGCATCGTTGCATTTCCTGTTTTTATCTGATTCTGTATCAGATTTTTACAACAGATCTGTTTTCAGGTTCAGCAAGACTATATAGATAGATATAACATAGATATAATAGAAAGGCTTTTGAAGGTTAATGATTTCAGTGCTTCAGTTCTAGGACAGTCATCCTGAGACTTCCTTATGAGATCTAAATTGTAAAGAGTGTATATAAGCTATGAACTCTTAAAATCAGATGCCTCTAAAGCATGTGTGTTTTGCATCCCAAATTATCAGTTGCTCTTCGAAATCTTGGCCTGATCTCCTCTGTTCTCCTCAAGGAAGAAAAATAAAGTAAATGTAGCAAGCTGTTCAAGTCAAAACATAAAGAAAACAAGATTTTTTTTTTCCTTTTAATTTTAACAACTGTATTGTACACTTGGGAAAGCATCTTTTCTTTTTTTGCTAGTAGAGTCAAGATGTTGTAGAGATTACTATAAAACGATCTCAGGAGATGTTTCTTTTGAGCAGCAATCCTAGTCTCTTTCTAGTTTTATTTTCTGCCTTCCTTCCAGTCCTGTGTTACAGTTTCTTGTTTACCAACTCTTTTATAGCAGAATGAAAGCTGTTAAAATCATGATGTCTGCGTGAGAAGTTTGTAGGCTGGAAAGGATCCATCTTGGTCACCACAGTAGTACAATAGTCACAAACCTCAGCAGCCCAAGGAAAGCTGAAACATTGTGAAGCAATGGATTTGGCTGAATTGATTTCCTGCATTCCATTTTACATTTTATTGACATTCATAATCTTAGAATACCAGTTAACCCCTAGTACAGGACAGGATCAGACCTCTGCTATGAAACTGACATACTGAATATATTTACTTCCCTTCCCTAGTATATGAGCAGTTTTTCATAGTAGTTGTTTTTTTTTCTCTTACACAAGCTTAGGACCAAGATAGCATTGTTCACCAGAAATACTACAATATTTTTCCTACAGGGTGTGCCCAGGATCTGAAGCAGAATGTCTTAACAATCCCTAGTTTACTGGAAACTTAGAAACATGGATGATAAGATAGATAATCAAAAGCTTTGGCTGACTGCTGACTCAGAATGGAAGATGTATAACTGTCAGCACTAGTAAGAGATATTTAAGCCTTTGTATCTCCCATTCTCCAAGGCATTAAGAATTCACATACCGAAGAGCTCATAAGCTGCCAGAGACTGTTTTTTGCCTGGTAGCAATAATCTGCACAACTTTTGTTTATACTGGAACATTAATTTAATGGTTGCACATATAGACAATATAGCAAATCTATGACTTCTCAATAATAAACATAGAATTAGGTCAGATTCACAAAATAGATGTATGTTAAATAAATACAGAAACTGGCCCAATGAGGTGTATGTACTTTTTATCATGTTGGTATTCTGAAATATGAAACTTAAGTTTCATCAAATTTTATAGCAAAAATAGTCTCATCGGATTTGTGTGAGTGCAGCAACACTTTTTTTTAAGCAGCATGTTTTTTCATTAAAATCAGAATTCTATTAAATTGTAGTTTCTACCACAGTATTTACAGCTAGTTAGTGTACCTATGTGCCGCTCAGCTATTTTCTCCATTTGATCTCAAAGCAGTTATACTGAGTAAAATCGTCAAGTCTTAAGTGCATGTGGTGATACAGTTCAAGCCATAGGCTCTGGAAAGCAGCAGTAGTTGAAAATAAATGAAGTGTAATTCCTGATGGTACAAGAATAGTAAACAAGATTATACCCAATGGAAACAACAGAGAAAACTTAGGGAGGCAGAAAGTTATTAGAAATAATTTTGGCTTAATTTCCCAGGGCTCTCTCACCAAACTTTTAATGCTAGGAAATTTATCATATGATCTTGTGGTGCTTTGATGAGGATTCTGTCATTGTCTTGTATTACATTAAAAAAAGTCTTTCAACACAACAATGCTGTGTGATACCATTTTCAATCACTGAACCTGTACCTCAAAATATACAGTGGTATCATATCGATTTCATAGTGGATAGGTTGTTCTTAGGACTTCCTTTCCAATACTGAACCTCACCTCACCTTATTTAGCTTGTCGTGCAAAAGCAGTATGCTTTGAGGTAGTATTACACACTAGATCAGTTTGAAGAAAATAAATTCTTTACAGGCACTGTGGATGTGCAATGTATATATGGAATTTTTGGTATAACACCTTACAGTTGTGGCTATTTGCAGTCTAAAACTATGTTTTTTCCTGTCATCCTACCATAATGCACTTTCAGCTCTTGATTTTTGTTCTTTTGTTACATGACTTTTTTCTAATGTATAATGACTTTTTTAATTAAAGATAATATTTTTGTTCCTTGGCATCTGGCTACAATGTGAAAAAGTAGGATTTTTTTTTTTTTGGAAAGTCAGAACTTCAGTAATGGTCAAACCTGGAATTACAGATAACCTATTGATCAGGTTACCATCTAACAAGGGTTTCTTTTCTCTTTGCAGTGTTGCCTATGGAAGTACTAATGTACATTTTCCGATGGGTAGTTTCGAGTGACTTGGACCTCAGATCCTTAGAGCAATTATCTCTTGTTTGTCGAGGATTTTACATTTGCGCCAGGTATTGTAGATAAGTTATCTAGAGTGAAGCTCCTCTCTGCTCTAAGGAATTAAAAAGAGCTTTTTTACTCTCAAACATATGTAAACAGTTTGTAGAGGTGGATAATAAATCCATAGAGCAAAATTGCCTGTGTTAGAAAGGTGGGTTGTGGGGTTTTTTATTTATTTTGCTTTTAGGTGGCTAAATTGTATGTGTAGGACTATGTCCTGCTTTTTCTTCCCATGGGAATTTTTGTGTTACGCTCCTCATGGTGCTAATCAGCTTTTGAATGCACCACTAAATGGTATGTTAGATAGATGACTTCACTGTAATAAAAAATGTCGCTGAAAGTCTTATTTGCTCTACCTTGTTTAAAAGTCAGAGTTGCAAGGTCTCCAAAATAATGTCTGTTGTATTGTCATCCTCATATGGCCACACAGAGAAGTGTTGGGCTGCTGCAGTGGTGGTGTTCTGTACTTGGCTGAAAATGGCATTTGTGTTCTTGAATTTCTCTGGGAGGAGGAGGTGGCTTTCAAATGCTCCAGGATTAAGTAAATTAGTCCATTAATGATTTTAAATTATGAGCTGTTGTTGTTCAAGAAAGTTCTTTCAGTTGCATCCAAACTAAATAATGGAGTGTGTTACTTTGGTATATGAAAGCTAAACAAGGTTGGCAGGAAAGTTACAGGGTTTGCTTTTTTCTTATTTTCGCTAGAGATCCTGAAATCTGGCATCAAGTCTGTTTGAAAATATGGGGCAGGAGCTGCAATAAACTTGTTCCATATTCCTCTTGGAGGGAAATGTTTTTGGAAAGGCCTCGCGTTCGATTTGATGGTAAGGGGTACTTTTGGAAATAGTTTGGGGGTTTTTTTACTGCATGTAACTGTGACAGAAACAATCGGGTGGGTTTGATGTTTATAACATTGTCGTTAGACCTAATCTGAATTTGTTTGCACTTCTGAATTTGTAAAGAGAAGGGAAGGCTGCAGGGGATGAAAAGAACAACTTTCATGTATTTAAGTAACAAAAGTAAACTCAAAAGTTTTAGGTTATTTGTTTTTTCATCTTAAATATTTTATGTACTTAGTTTTTGTTTGTATATTTATATCTTCCTTTCCTGTAGGTGTATATATCAGCAAGACAAAATACATACGTCAAGGAGAACAATCTCTTGATGGTTTCTATAGAGCGTGGCACCAAGTGGAATATTACAGGTAGAACTGTAGTACAATGAGTGAGTGAAATGTTTCTCTCTCTTAAGTTCTATAAATCTAGCCCTTGATACATTAATCATGCTGTAAAACTCCATGGAACTACTACAGTGTGTAAAGCTATGTATATTTTTTGAGAATAAGTCTTAAGGAATAGGATTTATTATAATAATTAGAGATGAGCTTAGAAACACATTTCATCCTCAGTGATACAGTTTCATGCAGATAAAGCTCAAACAGTAACAACAGTAATACTTGTCTACAGATTTTTTTCCCCAAATCACTTCTGCTTTACATTTCTGATATAATAGTTGTTTTCAGCAGAGGGAAAACAAGTGGTTATACCAGAATTGTCTTTTAAGTTATTTGTAACCAGTTGTAAATAATCAAGAGACTGGGCTTTTTAAACTTACTGTAGATACCTTGCCATTTGTTTCCTCAGCCTGTTTTCCTGCTGTTCTTCATTTTGCTGTTCCCAGCATTTATTGTTCCATTCTGCTGTCCCTTCTGAGGCTGGAAACTATTAATAGAAACCATGGAATCTCGTGGCTATTTCTATAGTCTTGCAAACATTGGCACAATATCTGAGTACTGTAAAAACTGATGAGATCCCAGAACCTGAAAAAGTCCATATGACATTGTCTATTCTGTACTGATACTGTAACTGAGATTTTGTTGCATTTGTCTCAATTGATGCTAGGAATGGAGAAACTTACTTGAGGTCAGTTTTGATTCCAGGATAGCTGCCTTGTTTTGCTTAGAGGTGACAAAAATCCTAAACTTCTGCTGTCTTTCATAACTCTTCATAACTTGATCTTTTAATCTTCAAAACTCTCTTTTGATTTCTGATCTCTCTTTTCTGTTGTATCATGTGTGAAGAAATGTGTGTTCAAATCCTATGACCTATAAAGTTCTATATTCTTCTGGGAAACATCCTGTGATTTAAAAAACAAAACAAAACACCAACCAAAACCACTATAGAAAAAGGATATGTTTTCTAGGTTTGTATTGTGTAATTGTATTTTTGCAGGTATTTGAGATTCTTTCCAGATGGTCAAGTTATGATGCTAACAACTCCTGAAGATCCTCAATCTATAGTTCCTCGCTTACGGACTAAAAATACAAGGTTATTGAAATAAAATATTTGGCTCTACATCTTGCTTTTACCTGACAATTTCTGTTTACTTTTGTCTTAGATTCTATATCCTGGCTTAGCAAAACTAGAGTAAAAATCCAATGTTACTTATATTGTATTATAGATGTTTATAGTTCTCTTCTGAGAACTACAAAAATTTTGGTATTTATGCGAAGATATCTTTCATTTTAAGGTCCTGATATTCTAATTAGATTTCCTTTGTGAGTTATGTGATTTTAAACTTTTAAAGGCAGTAGATGGAAGAATACATGCTATTGGCTTGGTGGGGTTAGAATCCTTTTAAAGATACTATTTTGTTATTGACTGCCTCCTCACGCTTCCTTGACTGTTTGAAGGAGAGTGAAGATTTTGTTGGGGTATGACTAAATTATTGCTTGATTTCTTTTTGATGTTTGCACAAACTTGTTAAAAACCTAGAAGATCATTTGCGACTTCAGAACAGGTTTGAGCTGTTCACCAGAAGTCTGAAAACATTTAGCGGTAGGCTAGGTAGAACTGACTAACTTATCTTTACTATCCTATCTGGGAAAATTAAAAGCAACCTTCCAAAATGTTTTCATCATTTCATATCATCAGTGAGTCTGGTACTTTACTAAATGGAAATAAAAAATAGTTTCCTTGATTATGATACGCAGTCAGTCTTCTTTTCATTGCTGGTATTTGTATTATAAGTGCATCACTCTTTTGAGACAGAGAATATTTTTATGTCCTTGACGCTATCCTCCTCTTAATGTTTCAGAACGGATGCAATCTTGCTTGGCCATTATCGCCTTTCCCAAGAAACAGACAATCAAACCAAAGTATTTGCTGTAATAATGAAGAAAAAGGAGGAGGTAGGTAGCAAAACAGAACAAAGGGAAAATAGTTTAAAGAGGGTGCTTTTTAATAAGTTTTTTCTCAGACTGAATATTTTAAGGCACCTGAAGATTTGCATTACACCAGTGGATTAAAAAATTAATTTCAGTTTTTAAATGGTTTAAATAAAATATAAATAAGCATGGTGTTTTATCTTACCTTTTTTTTTCCCAAATCTGTAATAATCTTTTTATTAAGACAGATAATTATCTGGTTCATATTTGAGCAGCAGTTCTCCCTCTTAGGCTTAATTGCCATGTGCGATGCTATTAGGTAGTTTGTTATCATTGTTAACAAATGGAAGGGAAAGATGAAGAGGTCTTTTTCCGAGTCTTGACTGTGTCCTGTTATGCTCCACATCATTAAATAAAACTAAATAAGCAGTATTCATTAATTAATCTCTGAATGATTTAGTCAACTTATATCACAAAATTTTCTGATTAACAAAGTGTCTGTTAAGAGAAACTTGTCAAGAGTTAGAAGTGTTACATTACTTTACAGTGAGTTTGCATAGTTTGGGTGGTGTCCTCCATGTTTATCTTACTTTCTGTATAAACTTCTTCCGTAATTAACATCTAAATTGCTGTATTTTCGAGGAATACCAGTACTCGCTTTTAAGTATGAGAGTTTAACAATTTGTCCTCACAGTTACTTAGGCCTCAGGATCAAGAGTTGCACAACGTGTTCTTTGTAGGTCCTGAATCTTCTTTTCTCTGTACAGAAACCAGTTGACTACCACAAATACAGGTATTTCCGCCGTGTTCCTGCACAAGAAACAGATCACAGTTTTCATGTAGGACTACAGTTGTGCTCCAGTGGGCGCCAGAGATTCAACAAACTTGTCTGGATACATCATTCTTGTCACATAACTTACAAGTAAGTAAATGGGGAGTAAGATCAAAGAAGGATACTTAACCTTAGAAACACAGGTGACATTGATTTGTCCAGTACTAAGTAGAGAAGATGTAAAGACTGTGAGACTTATGAGGCTTTAACAAAATGTCCTGAAAACAGTCACTGGTCCTGATTTGATATATCCTAATGAACTTTTACTCTAAGAAATCCCAAGATTTTAGTAACTTTTTATAATGGTATGGGAAGTTCCCTAAGTACTACAACTGCAGTATTATAGCCATTTAAAGGATTTATGCACAGTGCTTGAATGATTTCAGAACGGAATCGGGGTTGAAGGACTTAGTGTAGCGCTAGTAAAGGGGTGTGGAAAACATCATCATTAAGGTATATTTTTTTTCCTTTGTGGATGTGGGGTTGGACTAGATGACCTCTAGGAGTCCCTTCCAACCCAAAACATTCTATGATTCTATGTGCAAGCTGGGAATGTCTGCACCCACCATGTGAGAACTGTAGTGCTTACAAACTGTATAATCCAGCAGTGCAGAACGTGGGCATGTGACCAGCTGTTCTGATCACTAACCAAGCAAGAGCCATGGCCACGGTTCTTGCACCCAACACTAAATTGCTGGCAAGTTGGCTGTCCAGATGTTTGATGTTGGCATTTAGGGTGGATTTAGGCCTTGTCTTCCAGTCCTCTTAATCTCTACATTCAGTGTTTTTATAGGGACATAGCTCAGCTATTGAGCTGTAAGTATATAAAGTCTAGGAAGTAAACTACTGATGGTTGGGAGTATAGGTAACTTCCATAAACAGAAAAATTGCTTTTATAAAAACTAATGTTTTCATACCTCATTTATGAAGAAGTGGCAATATCACAGACATTCTTTTCAGCATGAAGTTTCTGTACTGCTCAGGTTTTGTTGTGCCTCTCAGTATGGTGGTGCCCTTTTGAAACTAGAACAAAGATGAGTATAAAACACAGCTAGGAGGACATAGGCTTTTTGTCACTAGTGTTCAGAAATACGTGGGTTTTCTTTTTGAAGTTTTGTAAACATAAAAGTGTTTGCTGTCACTGTATTCTCAATTCAGGGTTCTAAGTGAAACAAACTAAAGGGAATTTTTTACTTCAATATTAATACAGTGACTTGAGTGACATCCTGTGGTGTTTCAAGTTTTGGAGCTAATAATAAGAATGGAAGGGGCAAGTGGTTTCTTTGATATTACAATAGAAGTGTATTCTCTGTAGTGATTCAGCCAACATTCAAATGCTTTCAGAACAAGGCAGTATGGAAGACGCTTACATTCCAGCTGTGATTTGGGGCACACACTGTCCTGTGGAACAGGACTGCATTATTGAGAGACTTAAACAGCAACTTTGTGTCTAATTTAACTTTTGCAATACTCTTTGCAGATCGACTGGTGAGACAGCTATTACTACTTTCGACATTGACAAAATGTACACCCCTTTGTTCTTTGCACGAGTGAAGAGTTTTACTGCATTTTCAGAAAAGCCGCTCTAAGAAACACCTTTTCGTCTCACAGCTCTTGCATGAATAAAAGGTTGTAGCTAATGAGCACTTAAGTTATAAATGTGTATATATTTGGAATGTTTTAAAATTCTGGAGAATTTTTTGAAGGCAGTATGTTCTATTTGATCATGAATGGCTGGGGTTTTGTTTTGAGGTCAAGCTTATGAGTATTAAACACCTTTACTTTGTGACAAGAATTTGATAACAAAGTTTTGTTGTTTGTTTTGGGTTTGGTGTGGTTTTTTTTTTTTAAAACAGATTTTATAAATCAATCTGCTTAAAATGTGAGTCTTCATCTGCCCGGACACTGGTTTGTCCAAAAGGAATTGTTATAGGAAAATCTCACTGTCCATGGGACAGTGTGTGTGGTCTCTGGTGAGGGCTTGAAATACGAAGGGGAGGAAGTTGTCTTTTATCTGTTAAACTGTGTGACTTAAAAGAACTTCAAATAAATGTTTTCTTTAAATTAAACTTACTTTGTTTGCCTTTAAGATCTGGCATTTTGTCAACATCAACCTTAAGGAAAAACTATCAAGGGCAAGCAAGCATGAAGTAGAAAATTTAACCAGAGAGGTACATCCCCACCAATGCAGTGATGTCAGTTGGCCATAAATGTGATTTGATCGTGATAGAAGTTCAGTGGAGCCTGCCTTGTCAACAGGCTGGGCATGAAGGGGAGAGGGATATGGGCAGCGAGCTGTTCTCTTGTGCTGTAGGACGAATTTGCAGGGTATGTGGCTCTGCTTGGGAAGTGTCACAGCGCAATGGTGAAATGCTGCTGTGTACTGCTTGTGCGTTGGCCAGGTCCGAATGCGCAGGTAAGCAGGGCTCACTTGGACATGATCGTAATGTGTTATAACCCTTCATCTAACCTTGCTACAGATGCTGTAAACCCTTTGAGCATTCGTTGTACTAAGATAAATTTTGAGGCTGCCGTAGACGCTCAGGTGCTGTGTACTGCTCATCATGAAGTGTACCTTGAGGTTTGGTGCAGGTACTGTACGCTGCTTCTCCTGCATATATCGCTTGGGGGTGTAGTGCAGACACTGTAACACCGCTTATTATGTATGTATCTTGGATTCTGAAAGAACTGAAGCTTTTTAGTGTAGTTTTTTACAGCCATTTTGCATAATTTACCTTTGAACATCTCATTTCAAAATACTGACCTGGACTTGAGGACTAAAATGTGAAAGCTGTGGAAAGAACTATACTTGTTCCATAATTTATAAAGTGTATCTTTGGAAGGAGCTACGTGATTAAAAATACATCAATAAATTGTGATTTTGAACATGCAATCCCTTGCAATTTCTTATTTTGCCAAGAAATCATTCTTTTCATACAGTTAAAGATTATTAGTTAGGAGTTACCATGCATAACCTACATGCTAGGCAAGATTGACAGGTAGAATTAACCTCTTGATGACTTTTTATTATACTACTTACAGGTTATCTGAGAAAAGTAGAGAAGCTTTCAGGTACGTGCGTTCTGAATAAGGATGTGTGTATCTGAAACTTCGTGCTTTCTCTAGGTAACGTAGTAAGGCTCTGCCTACAGCCCTTCTTTGGCCTGTGTCCTCAGACTGCAGTTACACTGTTACTTCATACAACAGAACATTTAATAGGGAGTGGATTGTGTTCTCATTGCTGAAGGGAAAAACGATTGCTTAGAGTATCAGCTTCGTGTTCTGAAATATTGCCAAGTTTGTAAACAGGGAAAGATATTAGTTACCTACTGCTTCACCGTTGAGGGTGAGAGAGAAGAATCTGATTCTGCCTGCTGAGAAACGCCAGAAGTTTTTGTCACAAGAATTGGAAGATGATACCCATTATTTGTTTAGGTACAGTTTTATCCAGTAAACAAGTTGGATGTGATAGAAGAGCCTTTCAATTCAAAGCTCTTTTCATACCAAGGCTTACCTACTGCTTCTGAGCTTTTGTTTTTTGCTTGCCTTGGCCATGTGTTTGAAATATGCTCTGGGCGTAAAGGATAAGCTAGCTGATGTCCTGGTATAAATGGAGATGTCGATTCAACAGAAGTCTCAAGCAATGGTAATTTTAAGATTATATGAAATATTCCTTTACCAAGAAAATTAGCTGAGCGTTCTATCTGTGAGACCGAGCTGTGATTAATAATGCTGGTTCCTCTGCATTTAGCGACACAAGAGAGTCAAACCAGTTTTGTCTTTTGAAATGGTTTATCAGCAGATACTATTACTGTCTGTTCACATGCAGCTATTAAAATCGCGCTTGTTTCAGCAAGGAAATGGGTGACTACTTGCTCTACTATCCTAGTGATTTTCAATAGTCCAAGGCTTTAATTGCTAGAGGCTCTATGTTCTTAGAATTTAGTTTTATTGTCCTTTTTTACTGTATATAATACCGTGTATATATATAATTACCACATAAAGACATTAGTTGGTATAACTAGTTTACTGCTGGGAAGTTGTCCTTTACTAATGGTATTAGTAACTTGAATAAAAGAATGAGCTCTACACCTATGCAGTCCTTTTTCCCCAAGAGTTTATTTTATGAGTTGAGACAAGTTCATTTATAAAAACGGAAGGAGAGCTACGAGAGGTGACAGAAACATAGTTCTCGAGCTGTAGTTCTCTTTTATGTGTTGGATTAAAGAAAGCAGAGTGGATGGTTTTGTGGAGAGAAGATGCTCAAGTTGGTCAAATGTTACTCTGCTTTGACTCGGTCTAATTGGAGATTAGCACCAGTTAAACCTTTGTGGGTAATGCTGGGCTGTAGGCGGGGCGGGGGGGGGAAATGCTGGGCTGTAGGCGGGGCGGGGGAGGAACGGGGGGGAAAGTAGGGGTGGCTGACTCAGCGCTCCGAGTGGAGGGCCAGCAGTAGGCACTTCCCAACTGCCAAGTTTGGCTCCTGATTCACTCGGTAACCGTCAGCCAGGCTGGTCAGAATTTCAGAAACACGTGGTGTTTACACAAGGCTTTTTGTTTAAAGAAAGAATACAATAGAGATCGTTTCTATTTTTTTTTTTTTAAGCCAAGAAAATTCCTGTGGAATGTGTGCCAGTGTATTCGGAAACTTTTGTCAACGTTAAAATGGCTGAACTATTGAGGTGCTTTTCCGTTTTGTCTTTTCTGCTGTCCAAGATGAAAAAAATACAAAAGCTTATACACATTTGCAAAACAGCTTGGATTTCAGAAATCAGTGTTACGTATGTTATTTAGTTTTAATAGCACCTGTAACGAAATCAAAGGCTTCTGTTTGATACTCAGTCTGGATTCAAGCTTTGTCCTTTATGCTAAGACTAGCAGCTTGCTTAGTAAAATGGCTTGCATAATTGTTTGCTTAAAAGGAACAGTTAGTGCTTTGCCTTACCTCTGTCTTGTCCAGAGTATAGTTCCTGAGTCCTTAAAATAATGCTTAAAACTACAAGTCCTAGATAGTGCTGGCTTGAAAGAAAGGATTTGGAATAGAAACTGTTATTGAATGGAGCTTTTGGGGATGTGTAAATAAGTGGCTTTCTGTTGTAGCTAAAACTGTTTTCAGCCCTGGTAGCTTAGCCCATTTGAAAGGGTCCAGATGCACCATGCTGACGTGTACCTATCATTCAAGGCAGTAAGAGACAAGTCTTAAAGTTACGGTATAATGTGATTTTATGGAACACATATTTATAGTATGAATAGAAAAAAAAAAAAAATGAAGCATGGCTGCTTCTGAAGACAGTATTCCTGCATCTTTTAGGATTGACAGCCTTCCTATCTTGGCAACTGCAGGTATTCTGACATCTTTTGAAGACGTCTGTAGCATGTTTATTAATTTAGCCTCAGAATGCACTGAGAGAAATAGCTGGATATGATGCAGAACTAAAAAAATTAAGACTAGTAAAGTCCTGCCAAATTAAATTAGTCTTTAACGTGGAAAGCCAAGATGAGTAAACATTTTTTCCACACATTTTATTTCTGAATGAATTAATTTTCCCTTGAGAAGATAAATGCAAGCACTCTGACCCTTACATGTTACCATGCTAAATTTATATGCAGAGTACATTTTTTTTCATTAATTCTACCTCCGTAATAGTAACAGACTGCTGAAGTTGCTAAAACGGAAGTTCTGCCTGGTTTAGTTTGAAAACTTCTTTTTTTTTAAAGGAATTTGCTTGATTGATATTTCCTCCAAAATTAGCGCTACCCCTGCAGGTTGTTGCAGCTCAGTAATAATAAACAAGAGCTTTGAGATGTGGCTTCCCCATGTGTGTTTACTGGTACCAATGCACAATGTTGCTGTCCTGCCATTAGGTGGCATGCCACAGTTTGAAGGTTTCTTTT